CAAATGCAAGACTAACTGCCCTATAATTTCAAGAACAATTCTTATCAGCCATTTTGAAAGTAGAAATATCATTAATAACTCTCCCGTCCTTAGGACGGGTAGACTGTCTATTGACCTACCAACAACGAAAGAGACAGGCTTACTCGCCGATCTTTTCTTTCATTTAAAACCCCGAGGAAAATACTGTATAGTCCTGGCGCCTTTCCTATTTTCAATCTCTTAGTCTTTTTAATTATCATCAAGGGATAAAAACTATATATTCGAGTCAGTTCTAATATTTTCTATAAAATGTTGAGGGCCGCTACTATATCTGATATCCTCTCTTGTAAAAACAAGAAAGAAAAAAAAACATTTGAAAATTCAGCCATGTCGTAGCCTTTGAAAGAAAAACTTGCTATCAGCATCTTTTAGGGCTGAATTTCCACTTTAACATTCTGCTTCCTTTAACCTTGCTGTTAGTTTAACATTATCAGCAAGACGTTACTCATAAGCCCTTTTTGATTTATTTCTTAAACAGAACCTTAGCTTTTCTATAATTCTATGAATCTTTCATCCTAATTATCGATTTAAACTTGATATTTATCCATGATTTTCTCCTCCATACCCTTAGTGCGTCAAGTAGATATGATATTCCTCATTATCTTTATCCTCGTTTTTAGGAATTACCTATATGGAATGTTTTTTTCTCAGATTTGTACCACATCACACTTGAACTCATTATCCTAATTCACTGGTGATAAATCTTCTTTAGAGCTTTCCCGAATATCCTACTACCTAGCATGCTTAAGTGGATCCTCATCACTAGCATGTGATTCATCTTTATCCTGAAAAATTATCTCATAGGTTCAGCTAGTCTATTTCTTGCTCTAAGCATATCCCTAATAATCTTTCATTTAAGCCTCGCTTTGTTAAATAGTTAATTCCTGTACCTATCTTAAGGGAATACTCCTGAAAGGCCCACATATCCATTTCTCTCTCTCATTCTCTGAAGGAATTCGTTGTACTTTTCAAGTAGGTTTCCCGATTTCCAACATCATCCACTCCTGTACATACTACAAAACGAAAACACACATTGGTACCAAGAACTGATTTATCCACATGCTCTATAATGTCCTGCACTTTAGCACCCGAGAAACAAATTCTCATCCTAGGCTTTTCATGTTCTTTACTACAAATAACTTTATGATTATATTAAATGAGAGAGCCCCATCACTAGAGATAGTCATCCTCTTGGCTATCGTATCTCCTTCTTCTTACTTGCAAGCAACCAAACGTTCGATGTTATCATGCTGCCACTCTGGATAATGATTTACAATAAAATAATACTCCGCTAATGTTTTTAGTCAATGTGTAATCATCCTTTATGAATCTTTAAAGTTCATAAGTTCACATCAATGGGGAACAACTTATGAAGACATAATGGCAATAATTTCAATATGTATTACAAATGTAAGTAGTTTTTCTTGTGTTTAGAGTCCATCCTGTACCTTCAACAATATTATGCCCTAACTACCGGCATCAGTCGAAAATACAATCTTGTCTAGGGTAAACTAAACTGGAGCCTTAACTAAAGAAATATTTGCTGACTGAAATTCCTTACTTTAGCCTTCAGTTCACCCAAACTTGAATTTCAACTTAAGCCAAGGGCACACTATAGTGCAGTTGTCTACAAAATATAAGCCACAAAAACGCTAATAGTACGATATGAAACCTGGAAAACTGTAGTGCGGACTAGTTTAGAACTGCTATACACTTCACAATGTAAGACAGGAATTATATCTGACTACACATAAGCACACCCTGTCTACAGTTTCATGTATACTTTTCTTATTCTGTTGAGAAGTGATTATCAGCTTTTTAGTTGTAGAAAAACCAAAATGTAATATAAACAGATATGATATTTCTTGAAAATAGCAAATATATAACAGGCTGAATGACATCATACAAAATTTATACAAGCCAGCTCAAACGTGAATGCCTTCATCACACAGTGATATACTAGTTATTAGAAGCCAGATCCGATGAGTTGATCCGGAAGGCTTTGCTCTCTTAATATAAGTTAATACAAATAATTTCTTTGATTCTAAGATTCTCTTCATAGTTAGAACTGTGCAATACCCTAAAGTTTTCATCCAACGCTCTGTCTTGACAATCAATGTCTAGATGTTTGTATGTACTCGAATTTTTGTTGGCTGAAGTTGATTGTAGATGCCTTTTAATTAATACGTTGTTACAAGCGGCGAGTTGTGGAACCGATTTAATCTCTGCCACAGCGAGAAGAAACAAATAAAAAAACGATAAACAACGTAAGAGTGTTGAAATTTGCCAACCACGTCCCTGAACTTTAAAAAGTTCTCTACTTGTAGTATAGTTTTTAAAACTACTCGTGAACAATTGTTATTTAAAATGTTTTGATATTATTTCGCAACTCATAACTGCCCTTACCCGTGTACGGTAGACTATTGTACATGAAGCGTTTAGATACATCATAAAAAACCTTAGAACAGATGTTACTTTTATTCAGAAACTTTTTAATCACATTATTGATCGAGGATAAATGAAAACCATTTTTAAGTAAGACGTTTTTAATTTTTGAAAATAATGACATTTGCTCGCAATGTGATAAGCTCTGGTAAGTAAGATGTTAATTAAGTTTATTTTTTAGATAATAGGTGTAAAGCTAATTACATGACTATACACTCCTGTGTTCGTAGGTTTGTGATAAATTCTTACTTCCAAAGTTATTAATTTCAAAATTAAGAAGTGATAACTTAGAATTACTTCTTCCTCAACAGTAAACTTTATACTGGAGTGTTGTTTATGCAGATATTCCAAAAATAAATGAATGTTTTCTTTTCTCCTAGATATATAAAAAAGTATCGAGAACATACTTTTCCTAAAATACAAACAATATGTAGGTTTTTATAAAAAGAAATCCACGCAAATACATACTAAATAATTATTAAGTAATTTTATTAGAAGTGGCAAATGTACGTCGTGTAATCAATAATGTTATATTGTCTTTCCTTTGTTCTAATCTTCATAATTAGAACGAGTAATTTTTTTCTTCTAATTCCCATTTATTAAGGAAGAGATATAACATTTATTTCGTAAGTTTGAAATTAATAACTTTGTCAAACATTTGGAAATAGGTATTTATCATAAACAGGGTTTCTTTTTTCGGTGTTTATTTAGATATCTTGAAATCGATGTTTTTCGGAGTTTTTGCTTTTAATATTATGATGAGTATACAATATACCGTGTATTCTCTGCACACTAATTTCTTTATTGAAAAAACACCGATTTAATTTTTACTTCTTGTATCGGGGGTGTTTTATAAGTATTTATCTGTTAAAACCGAAAATTACAAGCCGTATTCATAATCTTATATACACAGGATTGTTTAGTCACATAAGTAGCTTTACGCCTGTCAGTTACAAAATAAACTTAAGTAACATCTTAGTTTACAGAGCTTATCACATCGTGAACAAATACCGTTCTTTTCAAAATGAACTGGAAATAATCTAAAATGTCTTATTTAAAAATAATTTTAATTTGTCCTTGATCAATAATAGAAGTTAACACCCGTTGTAAAGTGTGTTATGAGGTATCTAAACACTTGACGTGCAATAGTCTATCGTACTTTGGCAAGGACGGTTAAGAGTTGCAAAATAACATCCAGAACATTATAAATAAATCTTATCCACAGATATCTGAAAGAGTGATATTAAAATCTACACTACGAATAGATAACTTTTATAAATTCAAAAATGTGATGAGTGGCAAATTTCAACGCTCTTACGCTGTTTAACGTTTTGTTTGTTCTCGCTGTAACCGAGATTACATTAGTTCTACAACTCGCCGCTTGTAACAACGTATTAAAGAGCATCTACAGTCAACTTCAGGCAACAACAAATATTTACACTTCACTATACTATGTGGCTCTAACAGTGAAGAGCATCGTTAAATAATCATTTCTCATCGGTTGACATGATCCAGAAGTCATCTTTGAGTGTGTCTAGACATTCATACATGTATTCACGGCAAAAGAAAGGTATCAGTAGGCGATACCACATTCACGTACCTAAACTTTCACAGATCCGTGACATGCCTTCTTCCTTTCTGACAAACATTACAGGAGATGACTGAGCACCTTATGAAAGTTGTATTACTCCATTCTTTATTATATGTTCGATTTCAGCACTGCATTCCTTTTATAGGATGCGCGTCTCCTGTGTCTATGTGAAATAGTCATCGGGTCTCCCAAACAAATTAACATACTTAAACAATAACTTGCTGTGTTCCTGTTTCTGTTTGAGTCCAAATTGTTCACAATACATAGCTAACCACTTCATACGTTCCTGCAGTTGTGCATTTGCTATTGGACGTGACGCAGCTGAAACAAATCTAGCTTCGGCTACTTCTGATCACCTAGAACTGTTATACTTGTTTTTTACGTTTCCACAAAAAAGGAAAAATTTCTTGTTCACCTCCAGACTATTGTAGATAGAATCTATGCTTTTTCTAATGTTCGGGTTGTTAAACATGTTTATTGATATTTCCAGCGTTCTTGGATATTTTTGTATAATTCATGTAATGAAACAATGTCGTTAAATAGCAAATAATTACTTATCGTTTATTTATACTTTCAAAGAGATGTTATATTCAATTATTATTCTACAGAAATAAAATATATAAATATATTTGAGGTTTTATTTGTCACATTAAGCAAACAAATCCACATTGGTTATTAAGAGTATCATATGCGTAACAAAACTCAACATGTTCCCATTAAATGTTTAAATAAGCTCAATGAACTGACTTATTAAAAGTGGTTTATAACAAAAAGATCATGGATGTTTCTATCTTTTATGTTTTATTCCAGTAAATATGAACCTTTCTAAACATCTTTCCTGATAAAGATTTCCAAGATATATACATATATGTGTGTAAGCACTAAAGTCCGAAATCTAGGTTATGCATTTTTACGTGATCCGCTCACTATTTGATGAAATATTTCGGCCACTTATCGATTTCGGACTTTGATCTCAACATATAAACGTACTTATTTATTTTGATTTTAGGCTATCCATTTGCACAGAGTCTGGAGATTCCTCGAGCAGTGTTCCTGCATATAGAACGGGAAGAGAAAACAATTATTCAGTAACAAACTCATATAAACTGTTTGAAATAGAAACCAAAATATAAACACTACATAAAAAAATTAGTTACATATATTTATATTAAGCTGTGGACTTTTCTTACTAGCTACAGAATATTTAGTAGAATTAAACACATAATTCACACACTGTAATAACAATTTCTTTTGCCAACGAACTCTGATTATTTTATTAGATCTATATCTTTCATATTTTCAAAGCGCATGATTTTTTTTATAACAAGCCAACAATTCACTAAACTTTATAAATTCTTTTGACCGAAAAGTTCCAACTAGCTCTAGGAAATTTTTAATCAATACTTCTACTCCATAGAAATGCTTGTATGTTCTGATTTAAAAAAAAAAGAATAAAATGTTACTCTCAAAAAACTTCGTATTCGTCTTTATTTAGTATAATACCTAAGTTATAACATATTCCAGTATTTGATCGTTTTTCAAACTTCTCGTTTCCTATTAGGTAAAGCATTTTACTTCTTACATTTTTCTACCAATCTGTTAGTTACACAAAAATCACACAACTAAATATTGATAAGTATACGGTATCCTTCAGTTACTAAACTGTGCAGTTACAAGATATCGAAGTTCATGTATTTTCTTTACATTTTTACAAACGAAAATAACAGAATATGAACTTCCATTGTTGAATATAAAGTGGATTAAAATCTGTGTAGTAGTTTACTAGAAAATCTGTGAAGTAGTTTACTAGAAAATATATGCAGTAGTCTACTAGAAAATCTGTGTAGTAGTTTACTAGAAAATCTATGCAGTAGTTTACTAGAAAATCTGTGAAGTAGTTTACTAGAAAATATATGCAGTAGTTTACTAGAAAATCTGTGTAGTAGTTTACTAGAAAATCTGTGTAGTAGTTTACTAGAAAATCTATGCAGTAGTTTACTAGAAAATCTGTGTAGTAGTTTACTAGAAAATATATGCAGTAGTTTACTAGAAAATCTGTGTAGTAGTTTACTAGAAAATCTGTGTAGTAGTTTACTAGAAAATCTATGCAGTAGTTTACTAGAAAATCTATGCAGTAGTTTACTAGAAAATCTATGCAGTAGTTTACTAGAAAATCTATGCAGTAGTTTACTAGCCAATGAAAATATGTTTATTGCGTTATTGCGATATCAAGTTTTGTACTGGGTAAAAATCTTACGTTATTATATCAAGGCACTTATAGAGCCAAGTATGAAAAAAAAATGGTTATTAGTTTTGCACGACTTCATTGGTGGAGATCAAGACAAGAAGTCAACCAAAAGGCAAGAACAGTATCCACTAGCAAGGTTATAGGTTCATTCACGGTCCAATCATTTTCAACAGGCGTGGCCTATATGCACCATCTCTCTGTATTGTGTGGCGATTGTATAAAGGGTGAGCACCAACCACAAAAAATGACCTAAGTGTTTTCTAAAAGGTGTTTGATTGCACCCATAATGAACTTGTAGCCATAGAAAAGCTTTGCAAATATGTATAACAGATGTATATGTCCCTCAAATTAAATATTTTGTATGCATGTATACATAATTGTTAAATGGTGAAGTTAACCAAGAAAGTTTATGACAATAGCATGCTGCATCACATTCAACACATCATAAGTTAGTATACGGCATATGACAATAACATGCTGCATCATATTCAACACATCATAAGTTAGTATACGGCATATGACAATAACATGCTGCATCACATTCAATACATCATAAGTTAGTATACGGCATATGACAATAGCATGCTGCATCACATTCAACACATCATAAGTTAATATACGGCATATGACAAGAACATGCTGCATCATATTCAACACATCATAAGTTAATATACGGCATATGACAAGAACATGCTGCATCATATTCAACACATCATAAGTTAGTATACGGCATATGACAATAACATGCTGCATCACATTCAATACATCATAAGTTAGTATACGGCATATGACAAGAACATGCTGCATCGTATTCAACACATCATAAGTTAGTATACGGCATATGACAATAACATGCTGCATCACATTCAACACATCATAAGTTAGAGGTCTAACTCAACAGGTACATTTATCCCGACCTACCTGCAACACAGGCTGTCATGAAGCAGGCTGCCGATCCTGCTATTACTGCTCGCACTGCTAAACCCGCCAAGTCGGATTTTCTTTCCGGAGCTATAGCACCTAGCGCTCCGAGCTGGATCCCCATGGATCCGATATTGGAAAACCCACATAACGCATAAACAGCTATAGCTTCAGACCTAGACTAAAGAAATCAATAAGTGACCAAAATTGTTCTATACACATAACAAACATATTAGAACTATTACGATTATACAGTGTTCAAAATTCGTAAGGATAACACCTGGTGAACGTTTGTTTAAACGCTCAGTTTACTGCTTTCTCACTGCGAACAAAATCTATACCAACCAAAAATTTCAAATTCAGTCAAACAAAGTTGCAACTTTTATCTGATAGAATATTATTCTTTACTGTGATGACTCAACTAGATTCATTTGGAATAACCCAATGAACAACCCAGGCTCGAAACGTGGTCAAAATAGAATAATTTTGAAGTGAATTTCATTCATAGTTGTTATTATCTTCAATAGTAGCTTTTTTCTACGTAGTATTCCTTACCGTAACCTAACTAGTCGTATGATATGTTATTTCAGGAGTATTTTAGGTAAAGTAGACACGGTGAGCTTTCTGCAACGATCTGATCCTGTCTGTTTCTATAGTGTTTTTCTTCAACTTGAAGAAGATCCCACTATACAAGTCAAAATATCGTCCCGCTCTAGAAAGAGACAGGAGCAGTCCATTAAAGCCGAACCTCTTGTCGTATGAAACTCATTTAAATCAGAATTACAATACTCAGTATATGTTAATCATAATTGATTTTTATTTAAATCTGTTTATAAATTTCTTTCAGCACAAAGCTACACAATGCGCTATTTACATCATATCAGCCACGGGGAAAGAACCGTGAATTTTAGCGTTATTAGCCTTGAAACTGAGACATTGTGGATAGTATTAATTGGCTATATTTGTTTTTCATGCTAAACTAAATAAAGTTGTTGTAAATAAATTAACGTGATATTTTTACTGAATAGCACAAATGTCGAAACAATTGTCTTACCGATAACGTTTTTATTTCTCCAAGTTGTTTGTAAGCAATAAATTCGTTAACTACTGTCTTCAAACCAATCAGGCGAGCCACCTGTTCACATTCCTTCCACTCCACGCCCATCAGGAAAGCCAATGGAATGAACAGTTTGGATAACACCCACTGTCAACATTACATAAATAAATGCATAATATTTTATTATATGAAAAATATAATACAAAAGCAAGGTAACATAAAGTATAAAACGCTGATATATCCTTAAGGATATTCAGAGAACGAATTATGAACCAACCACTGTTGTTGTATTACAAACCAACATTAAAGAAATGAGTATACCTCAAAAGAGAGAAAGTCCCATCCAACAAGAAGTCCTATCCATCCAAAAATTGAGTCAAGAAATCGAATGAAGGCTAAAAAGGCAATTAAATTGGCGGCTATATTAGCTATTAACGTGATTGCATCACTGGCTCCTTTAATGGCGGCTTCTATAGCGTTCCGTTCTGTCCTATTGTAAAAACAACGATTATCTTTTTAAATGTCGTGAATGTAGATATTGTTTTATTTTTATTTCATTATAGACTCAATATTAATACAGTTGATTTGAACTACATATCCTCGTAATATCCTAGTTTAAGTATAACGTCATATTTACCACTTACTTTATTTTTAAGTAGAAAATAAAGCAAGAAATAAGAAATATAAAAGAGCATTCTGCTTTCTTTCTAGAAAATTGGATATTTGTAACATACTGTTGAACTTACGTATTGTTTGAGCTTGGGAAAATATCTATTTATATGATGTTCTACGTCATTTGTTTATGCTTTTACTACACGTGCCAAAGATAAGTCATTTATTGTTTTGTGTGTGGTGTGCATTCCTAGATACTAGTAACATTAATAACTGATCTTTAATATTCGATTCTTGGTTGTTTATTAGTTAAGGCTAAGAGCTAGAACATCTTCAATGTTATAATAATTATACGAAAATATTCTGCATTTTTGTCTGTTGAGTGCGAACTTTTTGATCTTGTTATCAGTAAGCTGGCATATAGTTCAGCCAAATTAAAATATAATCATAGTTAGTTGCTCCAGGTCATAAGTAATCTTACAACGATGAGCACTCGAATAGTTTCATGTCAGAAAATAAGTTACGCATATAATTGTGTATTTTGGTGATGATAAAAAATTATATTTCAAACATTATATCTGGTGAAAAAACGCGGATGAATCAAATGGTAACATTGGTAATTCTGATTATTAACATAGGCTAATATAGACGTCACTCAAGTGTGGGCGCTAACGACAAAACTATTGTTTAGTGCATTCTGGGAGAAAACAACTTTAGTTGTTTCTTGTGGGAAGCTCTAAGTTGCCTATAGCTCAGTATAATATTGAAGCAAGTATAGTTTTATAGAGAAGACATAGGCTGAAAGTAATTATTAAACATATTTTAAATCAGAGAAAAAAGATACGATTATAATAAACTTCTATTGATTAACTCACAACCAATAAACTTATCTTTTACTGAATGATTAAAAGCATTTGTGTTTTGTTATTATTTGTAAACCAGGAACTTCTGGTTGTTTAACACTGACTGTTATTAGCTTTAAACAATCAGGGAACTTATTTAACTGAGTGTCGCGTTGTCTGACAGACTTGGGCGAAGATAATGAGTTTCCTATATACGTTTCTTTGTATATGTCCTTCATTTAAAGTTATCAGATGAGTTCATGCTTGGATATTAGTTTTACTATTCCTGTATTTATTTTTCAATCAATATAAAGATCCAGTCATAAACTACCACCCAATTTCAGCTCTCAGGGTGCCGTTGTTTTCTTAACTTTCTTGTAATGGATAATTTGTACTTATGGTTAGAAGGAGAATGAAAGCTACAGTTAAAATATGATTAAAATATGATACAATTTCACTTCCGTCATTCACCACCGTTACCCAAGTACAGTAGACCATAGATATGATAACTGACCATGAGACGAGATGCATAAGTTAAAGTTTTGGATTTAACGTGCTGCGTCATACATAATAAGATTCTAATGTTAAAATAGTTGATTGGTGTTAATAACGTGAAACAAAAGTAAAATATGTATTTCAAAAACAAAAGACAGAGTAAAACAATGGAGCTTCTAAGCTTCCATTCCCTGCAAACACCCCTTATCCTATTGATACACATTCACGATGCTATCTGGGCTGATGGGAACTAATGTAGTTCGAAGCTCCAACTGTTAGATGTCATGGTGTGAAATGTTTACATTGAAAGAGGCAACTATGTTTAATATTGCAACCGCCGTTAACTCAAAGATGACGAAAACTTATATGCTAAATCTGACTAGAAACCTGGATATCCTTAAACACTCCTTCCTTTAGAGAGATAAGAAAAGTTTGTATATAGATAAAACTTGCACCCTTTGACAAGCTTGATGTCTTGGGCGAGTGTTTGACTCTGCTCTGTCTCAGGGTAGAACAACTTGGAAAAAGCTAAAGCAGCAGGAGCAGACATTACAGAAGCTGACAACAGGTGGCTAGAACTAACCTGAAAACAAATACAGTATTAAAACATATATATATATATATAATTACATTTTGACATTTATTAGCATTGTGGCATCTTTAATAACAACATAAATTGTTTTTTATTGATTTTCTGGTTCCAATTTTATAAAGTTATAAATCATTTGTCCAAATTTAACCTTATCTTGCAATTGATTAATTGAGAGCGATATAACTTTTACTAAAATATTGAAAATCGTAACATTAATGCATATTCATATATTTTAAAAACCGCTGCATTTTAAATGTGTTTATTTTAAAGTATTCAGAAGTATGTAAATCAGAATATCCATGATACACAAAATAATTGAAGTTTTCACAGGCAGCTGTGTAGGAAATACCTAAATAAATGTTACCGATTGGTTTTTAGTTACAAAGAAAGCGTTCTACTTTAACAGATCAGTATAATATAAAGTATTTATGGTGGGAGTGTATAAAGAACATATTGAATTACATCTGTAAATAATAATAATAAAAACTTTTTCTAACTTACTCCGAAATTAATATAAGCTGCTAGGACGCTGCCGGCAATGGTAGCAAAACCACCCGTCAGAACGGCATGGAGTTCTGACTTAGTCATTGTCGGTAGAAAATGTTTTATCATTAGCGGAGCCTCTGTCTGAAACCAACAGTAATCATTAACTTTGATGAGGATAAAAAATTATAATGTTTGTTTGCATATAACCAAGAAAACATTGCGCTCCAAAATATATCATTAAATTATATTACTTTGAGGTATGTGCTAACTTCCGTTTTTATAAGATATAATATAATTCTTATTATACTTGTATAACATTTTTTCTCGTACTTTAGGACGGTATCACGGTATAGTTTATCTTGAATGTAGGCCGCTAGATTTAACTTTAATAACTTTTCAACTCAACAAATTATTTTTGTAACCTTATCGTAAATATAATATAAAAATTCCGTCGCTAACCGCATTATAGGATAATCCGAGAAAAATGTCAAGATTAGTTTTTGAAGTAACTACTTTAGTTGATTTTATGTTCTTGTGGTACTTGCGTCTGAGCCAATGCCAGTCTCGGTGACTTGTTCACGCGTGCTAAGGATTTTCATTAATGGCTACATACAGTGAACATGATAAATAAAATTACGTATGAGGCTGATGAATAGCATAAACGGTGTATCGTTATTACTGTGTTATTCTTCTCCCTTCTCTCTATTACAGGAATTGCTTTTCCCACTTAGGTTTAACTGTAGTTATTATACTTATCCAGTATAATACAATCTTATTTTGTGCCTGGGTCTGGAAATCAGATCAAAGAATTATCGAAAAAATGAAGATAGTGTTATTTTATTGTCTTTTCTTTATATGTTAAATTTAAAACTGTTTATTTTTTATGTTAAAGTATACAGATAAAGATATTCATACATACTTACATGCATATACTTATTATACTGTTTTTTCTACTAATTTAAAACAATATGAATATTAAAATTTTATGTGTTGGCCAAATGATTCAACAAACACCCATACCCGTTAAGATATATTGAAATATTTAAGTAACTCACCATTCCAAGGAAAATATTTCCTGCTGCGTTCATGGATTCGCATGCCGTTGTTCCCACAGTTACTTGGAGGAACCAACCTACTTTAATAACCATCCACTGCATTATCCCGTAATAGTACAGAATAGATATCCAGAAATTGAAGAATAAAATTACGCTTAAAACCTAAAAATAAAATATATAGCGTTATACAGATAGTATTGACTTGTGAAAAATTGCTTACAAATAAGTTTTTAATGTATATAGTGAAGATATTAAGCCAAAAACAATTACAAAATCTTAGGTTTTCAATAAATAAAATGATATCCACTTCAACGTAGTTCATACAAAACAATGCTTGTGATGAAATACGTTCAACTTATTGAACAAGGATAAAACACTCCTATGTTTAATGTAATATAAATAGATTTAGTTATATCATTTCATGAATACTTCGAACCGTATATACTCGCAAGCAAAGTGATTTGAAAGAATGATACATTTTTGTTTCAGCACCTCTGTTTGAAATACTTTGTCTACTTTAAGTAACAGTGGACAAAAGTTCTAAAAGAAGAGGTTCCTAAAAGAATATATATATATATATTGCTAAATTTATAACTACGAGTTATTAACAAAATCAATACAATGAAGAGAAGTATTTTCGAAACATAAAATGAATAAAGGTAAATATATGGAACTTCTCTTGTAGCAAATAAACGTAGCTATCCTGTCAAACTGAAACCACTGGAAACGCAACATGTGTTCCATATATTCGGTTGAATGTGGCAGGAATGGCGACTTGTATTCCATATATTCGGTTGAATGTGGCAGGACTGCCGACTTATGTTCCATATGTTTGATCAAGTATGGACGGAATGGCTATTTGTGTTCCATGTAGTGGGTTTAATGGCGACTTGTGTTTCACATGTTCAGTTGAATGTGGTGGGAATGGAGCCTTGTGACCCATGTAGTCGGTTGAATGTAGTAGGAATGGAGGCTTGTGATCCATGTAGTCGGTTGAATGTGGTGGGAATGGAGCCTTGTGATCCATCTAGTCGGTTGAATGTGGTAGGAATGGAGGCTTGTGATCTATGTAGTCGGTTGAATGTGGTAGGAATGGAGTCTTGTGATCCATCTAGTCGGTTGAATGTGGTAGGAATGGAGGCTTGTGATCTATGTAGTCGGTTGAATGTGGTAGGAATGGAGGCTTGTGATCCATCTAGTCGGTTGAATGTGGTGGGAATGGAGGCTTGTGATCTATGTAGTCGGTTGAATGTTGTAGGAATGGAGGCTTGTGATATATGTAGTCGGTTGAATGTAGTAGGAATGGAGGCATGTGATCTATGTAGTCGGTTGAATGTGGTAGGAATGGAGCCTTGTGATCCATCTAGTCGGTTGAATGTGGTAGGAATGGAGGCTTGTGATCTATGTAGTCGGTTGAATGTGGTAGGAATGGAGGCTTGTGATCTATGTAGTCGGTTGAATGTGGTAGGAATGGAGCCTTGTGGTCATCTAGTCGGTTGAATGTTGTAGGAATGGAGCCTTGTGGTCCATCTAGTCGGTTGAATGTGGTAGGAATGGAGCCTTGTGATCCATCTAGTCGGTTGAATGAGGCATATTATATCATATTATTATGACTTATGTATGTGTCACAAACAGCAATTCACAGTTAGGTTTGATCAAATTAAAAACAGTTTATAGCTTGATAATTGTACAAATGTCACATGATTAGGCCCATTTTAAATAATAATTATGAATCTGCCACACATTAGAGTTCAACCCAGATGCCAAATGGTGACGATTGTTGAATACAAAGTAGTTACTGGGAAGGAAAAGCGAGCGTTGTGATAATATCAAGTTTAGCAATACAATATACAATATTTTCAGTTGTAATTCTAACAATATCTCACGATGTTCTAAGAGGTTGAAAAATATTTTTTTCTACACAGGTTAATATATAAGTTTTTATATGCAAATATAATGACTGCAGCAATCGTGATTGTTGAATTGTGCAATTGTTCAATTAAATCAAATTCAAACCCGTGTTAATTATGTTTGCCTTAATTGTGAAATAGGGAAATACAAGTTCTGTTATTTGACTCACTACGATTTACAACAAATAGTTTTCGTGAAATTTCAATCAGTCGTTGGTTGTTTTTCGTACATTCAAATATACACTCTTACACACTGTAGTAAAAGGATTATACGCGTTCGATAATGTGATCAGGTGAAAAAGTAACGCATTGTCAATGGAACTGTTTGCGAGTGTATAACGACAAAATGAAGAGAAGTGACAAATTAGCACTAAATGCTATAGTATGATATTTATGGACATGGCCATGAAAAGAGGGAAGAAGGACTGCAGTACACATATGTGCCCTAATCTCTTAACATTATATAATATTTTGAGAGTAAACATCCAAAACCGTAAAGGAGGGAGGAAGAGGTCTAGATAGAACCTGACTCTCCCAGGCCGCGAACGACGACGACCAAACACCGACACAAAGACTTAAGTAAAAGGGTGTTCATTTTGAAATGTAAAGTTAACACTTTGAAATGTAAGGTTAACACTATTATAAAATAATAATTTCCCACAACAGTAAGTTTAACGGTATGTCATAGAACTCATGGGGTATGCATTTAAAAAAGCAGTTAATATATGAGCGAGTAAGAAATAAATGTATATCAAAATTGAAAATTCAGATAAAGTGTGAATTTTTAAAGAATAATTTGTACATTTTATTTGTTAAAAATATGTATCCAAACATAATAGGCCTAACATAATGTCTGTTGAGAAGTTTAATTAATTATGTATCTAAAGTTTATCGAAATATTAAGTAAATAATAATGAATAAATTGCAGTTTAAATGGACTACCATTTTACTGACTAGCGTGGATATAATTCTGCAACACAACACTAATGATTTCAGCTTGTTAAAAGATAATCTAACGCGAAAAATGTAAAACCAGAAACTTACACTGAATGCAAACACTGGTCTCTGTTTCGCAGAGATATCTTGAAGTTCACCAGTAACCAGGTAATCGAAAAGAAAAGTAAAACCAGAAACTTACACTGAATGCAAACACTGGTCTCTGTTTCGCAGAGATATCTTGAAGTTCACCAGTAACCAGGTAATCGAAAAGAAAACTCGATCCGTAATCTGTAAACTCAAGAAACTTTTTCACTTTTTCCCCAATGCAATGGAATATTTCCCTTCCAACGTGCCATCTTAAGATGGCCAGTCCAAAAAGAAATTGTAACAGTACGCCCCATAGAACATGTCGCCACACAACCTAAGAAAAGAAAGATTTCGTCAGGCTCATATGATTGCTGTGATTTTCTGTATTTCAGCATTTAGATATAAATACTTACCTTCAACAAACTACAAACCTACAGCTTGTAAATTTCTATAAAGGGCAATTCTCCTAACTCAGTATTTCAGCGTTTGTTAACGTTTTATTTATTATATTGTTTGGTAATTCATGCCGTTTAATTTTATTGGGTGTAATAAAGGTTTCCTAAAATTTTTTCAGTCTTAAACACTTCCTATAAACATAATACCGTTCTATAGAAAGCAAAAAAAAAATTCAGCTACAATATTATTTACATTGCAAGAAAAAAACATCTATATAATATTATAAGCAAATAACTTGTGTGAATGTATTGGAATTATATCTTCATTGAATATATTTCACAAAACAATTAAAGGAAAATTAAAATGCATAATATTTTTAGCTACGGCAAAGTCAATCCATTGTTCTAAAATAATCCTAATCACTTTCCTCCTCCTCAATTCATTTTTAATAATTAAATTAGGCATCTGATGATCGGTCATCGTGTCTTGATCTGCAAATTATCGATAATTAGCATTCAGTAGAAGTGTCTTAACATCTTTACACAAAGGTGGGTATGACATAGATGTTGGTGTGCTGGGCTGCAGATAAGAAGGTTCAAGGTTGGAATCCATGATACACTACTAAACAGATTCTACACTTTCAGCTGTCGGTGCACTATAGCAGTGATAGATAACTCCACTCTATGTTTAAGAGTACCAGTGTAGGCAAAAGGTGTTGCTAACTGACTGCTCTCTCTCTCTCTCTCATTAATAGTTCGAAATTAGGAATGCCTCTGCTTGAACATTGGAGCCTCTGACTTAGCCGTTTAGCTCATATTTCGCATAAGGTATCACTCAGGTTAAAAACATCAAGTATGAAACATTTTTACACTTCCTGAAATTTCACTTCAAAAGAGTCCATTGCTGCATTGATAAGGCTTTGGGGTATCCTTGATCAGTCCTCTAAATAAGCTGTTTCCAGGGTATCTTGAATGTATGAAACCATTTTATGTATGTTAAGTGAGATTGAAGTTTGATGCTTGTGCAGACCACTCCATTCAGTCAATCTCCTCTTCAAATAACGCGTCAACCAATGGATCATACTGGAAATGGACGTTATCACGTAAAATGGTCAAATCAGGGCCTATTGTGTATAATATATTCCTTACAATGTGGGACATTAATGGTATTATTCTGCACGATTTTGAGATCGATGCATCTATCAATGTTTATTCTTGCCCAAACTATACTTCTATTATCGCCATATGTTACATGTACTGCCGTACAATGAAGTGTGGATCGTGTAACAGGAGTATTGATCCATTAATCATTGATTCATTGGACATGTTCATGTAACTTTTGCACATGAGCTTTGTGTGCTTTGTTGAGAGTGTAAATCACCTCATTAAGATACAGGAAGACTTTGTGGAATCAGCCCTAACCACATGTGCACTGACATAACATCCAGTTTTGGTTGAAAACATTTGACTCGGCCTCATGCCAGGTAACCTTTGATTGCAGCATAAAATCGACGGACGGTGGTACTCTGTTTCTTGTCCAGTTGGAAGTTGTTCTACATTTTTCTAGCAGTGATTTGAGAAACAACAGCCTACTGTGATTGACAACTTCTAATTATCTGTTGGCTTTCACATAAGTGCAATTAGCTGGTGTGGTCTTTGGAATACTTTAAACTCTGCGATCCACTTCAAAGTGATAATCGAGATAAGACTGAGAGAAAGCATAAGTTTGAATATATAACAAGTCATTTGAATTTCAGATCCTATTATTAAACATCAGTTACATAAGAATGAACCGAGGGTGATAATTAGCATTCTAGCGTCGTACCTAGAATGTTATAAATCTTGTTTTCCTTTAGCTGGTTTATTCTATGCACAACACAAAGTCTCTTTAAAGTTTTTATCATGTCATATCTACAAAACCTCATTACTTCCAACGATTAACATAGATATGATGCAAAATTTGTTTTCCGTTATTTGATTGTGGTAAAACTGATTTAAACTTTTATAGCGCATTGGTGTAATTCTAGGCTAACATAAGTTCTTATGATAATCATACAAATGTCCGGCTAAAGCTAATTAATACAGAGTTTAAGCAGAATCGTGATTGTTTATATGCTTTTGTTTTACTTAAAATCATACTTATACTTGAAATTTTATATTATGTACAGTCTTGGGATAAACATATCTTATAATTCATAGAACATGAAACTTTTTTATACTTTAGAAATCAGACAATAGCTTTAATCCTTTCCTTTCATAAGAACATGCCAATTTATTGTGACTATAATAAAAAGTAATGAAATTATTCGTGAACAGTGTATTGAACTATTACTGGTCTAACCGACGATTCCTCTTGGTTTGGTTTCTAATTTCGTGCAAACTACACGAGGGCTGTCTGTGCAAGCCGTCTCTAATTTATCAATGACAGACTAAAGGGAAGGCAGCTAGTCAACATCATCCACCGCAAACTCGTGGGCTTCTCTTTTACCAACGAATACTGGGATTGACCGTCACATAAGTCCCCAAAGCTGAAAAGGCATATTCGATAATAGGGATTAAAACGGGGGCGACCCACAGATTGCGAGTCGAGCGCCCTAACCAACATGCCATACCTGACCGAGAAGCTTTGGCCGATAGAAGCTGGTGAAATAAAGATAAAATGTCAGTGTCTTCAGAGTATCAGATTTATGATGTAGTGAAAAATAAAGTAATCAAAGTTGTTGTTTTTTTGTATAATTTTATCGAGGGCTGTCTGCGCTAGCTTTCCCTAATTTATCAGTGATAGACTAGAAGGAAGACAGTTAGTCAACACCACTCACCGCCAAGTCTAACGAATAGTGGGATTGACTGCCACATTATAATACAAAGACAGGCTAAAGTGATGAGCACTAGCCAGAAACGACAATATGGAGAATCTGGAGAAATAACATTTAGCACAAACCTTACTGGATAATCAACAAACTCTAATCGAAGCGTAATTAAAACTGACTACTCCGTCAAAGATAATAACACGTAGCATAAGAAAGATCCTCTGTATAATAAAAAAAAGACATGAAAACAACTTGTTCCAGGGGAAAGTTTTATTCGCCAATGTAAGAAATGGTACAGGGTGTTTAGAAAACGATTACAGAATGTGTTCAGTAAGCTTTTCTTCATTCTCAATCATCATATCAAGCCTATCGCTAAATGAAGACACAGTGACACGCATTTTATTGCTGTTGTTTTTAACGCAAAGCTACAGATCGGGCTATGTGCGCTTTATCCACCGCGTAGAATTGAACCCCGGATTCTTGCGTTGTATTTCTGTACACTTACTGTTGACTCACCGGGGGTACTGCATTTTATTCAAATCACCAATCTCATATTATTGAAAAAGAGACAAAAAACAGAAATAAAAGCAACCTACTTTGCGAAAAGAGTTATACACCATATCCAAACTTTCCTAAATAAAGGTTCGTACCCCCTCGGTGGACACAACAGACAGCCCATTGTGGATTTGCTATAACAAAACACACACACACACACTCCTAAATAAAACCGTGTGTTTCTGGTGACAGTTTGTTTCTCTAGAACAAGTAATTTTTACCACATAATAATTTTAAATACGGGGTTTTTATTTATAGTCAGTCTCTATAACACTATAAAACATAATAAAATCCCTTATAGAAAATATATTCCGATTCAAATGAATACCGTATGAATCTTAAGAAAATTATAAAACAAAGTGTCAAAAATCCAATTGAATAATAGTACTATTACATTTCATAAAATAATTTCACTGTTCCAAATGATTAAAAAAGAACAAATTGAATATAAGCAGTTGTTAAACAAAACACAAGAGTGTAAAAGCGAACATAACTGCCACAGAAGTCAGTTAAAAATAAAATGATAAAAATAATACGTTCAAAACGTGACTGCAAATCTAAATCATGCTTTATAAGATTTAACATTCTTTTTGTTATTAAGTACAAAGCTACAGAATAGACTATCTGTGTTCTTCTGCCTATAACGGGTATAGAAACTCGAACTTTAGCGTTGTAACTTATGAGATTTGCCGCTGAGCCATCAGGGAGTGGAGAAGACTAAACAGATGAAAATAACTGTATACATCGCAAACTAGATCAAACACAGGAAAAAATAATATGTAGGATAAACATTAATAAGAAATACGCTGGTTGAATTAAAACGGTAGTTAATAGTAATAGAAAAAATCATTTAGCACCTTGGAGTTTATTAATAATTATTTGGATTCAACCATACTGATAAATCTGGGAACACTGGCAATTGAAAATCACTCGTCGGGGATATACATTATCCTCATGTACGTTAGCCCATAATTAAAGTGCATAATTGGACATTATCCCAATTAATAATGACATAAAATCAAAAGTTTTATAATTTTTTCAAGTACAAATAGCCCCCAGTGGCACAGCGATATGTCCGAAGACTTCTAACGCTATAAACCGGGTTTCGACACCTGTGGTGGGCACAGCACAGATAGATCATTGTGTAGCTTTGTGCTAAAATACAAACAAACAAAAACAAACAAGTGTACAGATGGTTGACTAAGTTATGGTAAAACGATTTTTAATATGCAAATCAGCAAGTCGCATGTTAACTACAGCCCATATAAAGTCGTCATGGAACAAAATTTGTAAGAATTAAATGTTAAGGTGGCTTGGAGCTACGTAGGTAAAGTGATACCACCGAAA